TAGAACCAAAAGCTGTACTTCAAATTAGTGACAAACTTTGGCCTTTTTTGATGAGTTACCTTCATTTTTGCTTCTACTTTTCATTTAAAAAAAGTTTCCATTCTCGGCAGGTATCTAAGTTTCTTCTTCTACATATTAAAAAGTTGTTAAACATTGAGTGGCGCACTACCGCTACTAGTGGTGAGAAAGTGTATTACATCTTATTTAAAATCACTTCGGTCCCACGGCCCTCTGCGGCCCAAAGTTAACCTAACCTTTTGAGGCCCTCAAGGTGGGGCTCACGGCCCATAGGTTAAGAATCTCTGGTCTATTGTGTTGATGTGTGGGGGAAAGCATGTAAGACTATCACACATCCTGTTTTTGTTTTGTAGAAAAGAGCTAAAACATTACCTTTATCCGTCTAATATATTATTTTGTAAACTGAAATTACTGAAATTCTATGATTTGGTTGATTATAACATTTTGTTAGTAATGCATAAAGCTCACCAGAACACATTACCTTTAAACATCCAGATAAACTATGTAAAGACAGAGAGCTGTTATAATCTTAAGGGGACAGAGTTGTTCATGAAACCTAAATTTAGAACCTGTTTCAAAGAACGGTGCAGCTCAATCCAAGGAGTCAGATTGTGGAATAATTTGGAAAATGATGTTAAAAGTGTCAAATCACTGTACATGTTTAAGAGTACGATAAAGGCTAGATTGTTGAAAAAATATGAAACAGTATAATGTGCATTCATATAATTTGTTGTTCTAGAAAGATTTGATGTTTTTGTTTTGTTTTATCTGTCGAGTTCTTTTATTTTTCTTCAATGCCTGCCTAAACTCGATAAGGCATTACTTCAACAGACAAGCTAACCTCATCAGTAAAGGAACAAACAATATGGTTGAAGGAGACCTGAAGGAAGAATTCAGTAAGTTGTCAAAATACTTCAGGAAAATCCTTGAAACCAATGATGATTATAGGATGGGACTTCTGGCTGAAACTACTAAAGAAGAAGCCACAGAGAAGGAAGACTGGCTCCACAAAGAGTAAGAGTTGTAGGAGACCTTGTCTTGTGGCTGATGAGAAGCTCAATTTCCTTTGGTCTTCTCAGGTCCTCCAGCTCAGCCTCTGGGAAAAAATTATTTAATTTCTCAGGTTTAACAACATTGTGCACTTTGGCTATCTCATTCAGTCCATAACAAACCGTTTCATGGGATACCACTTTGCCTTTAGGTGTTTTGATCCTGACTCTGGGGAGGTATCTTTTTGTGTTTACCTTCATGACCATACCACCAACACCATGGACAACTAAGGTCACGCTCTCACTTTGTAACCTCAGCCTGCCAGCTGCTTTATGGGTGATGTAATTGGTGTCTGATGCAAGGTCAACTAGAGTTCCAGTCTTCTCACCTGAGTTAGTTGTGATCTCCATCAGCATCATGATCACAGAGTTTGTTTTCCTCCAAAGTTTCAGACTGTCTCTCATTAGTTTTGGCCATTTTGATGGCGACATGTGTGAAAGCTTTTCTGCATTTACTGGCCATCTCAGGGGAAAGTTCAGACAGAAAACTTTCCTGTTCGTCCATCAGTCTGCTTTTACTCCTGATATTTGTTCCACTCCCATCTTTAATGTTCCATCTTTTATCCTCTCTTGGACAGAGGAAGTAGTGATGATCAGGGGTGCTGTCTTTTTTACTATCTCTCTTCTTGCATAGGAATGTGTCTCTGCAGTGGGCATCGTCATCATGGCACACAAGACATTTACTGCAAGCTCCTAGCTTTTTCAAAGCAGCCTTCTTTTCATGAAGTTTCAACACTTTGAACTTTTTGCAGAAGAAAAGTTTGTCTTTATGTTTGAAATCCCTACAAACAACACATCCATTTTCCATCTCTTTGTTCGTGCTTTTTGTTAAAGCATATTTCCTCTGGAAATCTGGTTTCTCTGTTTTATCCATACATTTAAGCTGCTCAAGTCTCTCAAGGATTCCTTCTTGATTTTTCAAGAATTTCAAGAGTGCATCAAAGTGGTTGTCTAATGTGACATTATTGTTTGGATCAACCATGAATTTCAACCAGTCTCTTTTGACAAAGTCAGGTAATTTACATTCTATAGCTTTGATTGCCAAAGGATTCTTTATTGCACCAGAGTTTCCCTGTTCAGTTAGATCTGCCAAAGCTTTTTCTACAGACTCTATGAGTTCTATTACTTTTCTTGGCTGATTTCCCCTCACAGGAGGTATTTTTTCTAGTTCTTCTAGTATTTCTATTGCAATGGTTGATATGTTTCCATACCTGTTCTCCATAACTCTGAGTATTTCTTCAGCATTGTTGTAGCTTGACAGTCTTAGATTATTTGATATCTTGTCACTGATGCTGTCCAAAAGTTGAATTTTCTTGACCTTTAGTTGATCCAGATGGATCTCCTTGTCTTTGAAGACTTTCCCAATCTTTCCTCCATCTGTAAAATTCTCTTTTGTTGCCACTGAAGATGGGTAGAGCTACTGGTTTAATCCTTATGATTGGTGTCGTATGTGTTGGTGTCTTGTCCCTCCCACTGTAGGTATCTGCCTCTTCTGCAATTCTGCGTGCAGTAACAAATTCAGCTTTTCTTGACTCAAGTCTGCTGCCAATGGCTTTCAGATCTTTAACTCTGTTATCCAGTTCCCCTCTTTCATCCTCAGGGATCCATCGTTCCCAGGATGTCATCATTTTGAGGGCTGCTTGTGTCCTCTTTAGGAGTGTGAGTTGCACCACACAGCCTTCTAGGTTGGTACTTAATACAGTTACATTAGCTGCTTCCTCTCCATTTTTCTCTGCTTCTTGATAGCAGTAATGAGTTCATATTGACCATACCTTAACCACAGGTTCTCTTGGACAATATTCTTCAGGTCTTTAAATTTTGCCTCCGCCTCAGTTGCGGTCTGCTCGATGTCAGCCTCTTGGAGCACTGCTTCTTCATCTTCTTCTTTAGTAGTTTCAGCCAGAAGGCCCATCCTATAATAATCATTGGTTTCAAGGATTTTCCTGAAGTATTTTGTCAACTTACTGAATTCTTCCTTCAGCTCTCCTTCAACCATGTTGTTTGCTCCTTTACTGATGAGGTTAGCTTGTCTGATGAAGTTGCTCTTAATGGTCCACTCTCTTTTGAGCTGTTTGACCGTTTTTCCCAAAGCATCTTCCGCCATCTTGGTCTCAGCCACAGTTCTTGACCTCTGCGTCTACAGCTTCTTTGTGGATTTCTGAAGCCCTTTATCTTCTGTCCCACGCTGCACGCCATTGGTTATCAACTGTCGAGTTCTTTTATTGTTCTTCAATGCCTGCCTAAACTCGATAAGGCATTACTTCAACAGANCTGTCCCACGCTGCACGCCATTGGTTATCAACTGTCGAGTTCTTTTATTGTTCTTCAATGCCTGCCTAAACTCGATAAGGCATTACTTCAACAGAGGACGCTGGCCAACTCCATTCATTCATCTTTTTAGTTTATTGGTTAGGTTGATTTAGGTTGTTGGGTTACAAGTTCAAGATGATTTTGAACATTATTGAGATGATATGAAACAGGTTGATAACCTTAAAAAGAGAACAAAATTAGTTCATCATACCAGATGTCAAATAATAAACTTCATTATTTAAATCTTACTCTAATCATCAATCATTTAGGAGTCAACAAAATAAACTTAAACTCTCCAGTATCATTGAGAAGTTAATACATTACATAAGTCATCAGTCATTTTTTTAACAAAATGCTTTAGTTACCTTCATGTAGAACAAGTAAAATAAAAAACAAACCAGTGGCTTGTTGGTATGTTAGCACTGAAGCAGGGTAGCAGCAAACAAACCTGCCCAGGTGGATACCTTATTAAAAGGCAGTTTCTCACTACCTTGAATGTGTTCAAGTCACCACACCCATCCAGGTATACTACAAACACTGCCATCTAGTGCTAAACAATATTATGAAAACAAAGAAAAGAAAAACACATTTAGACTTTTGTTGAATTTATACTTGAGGAAAAAAAGGGCAGATATAAGTGTTTTCTTCTCTCTGCTGCTTTTCATTTTATTTGTAGTTTTTATTGTACATAGAATTAATTTTGAAATGAATGTTTTTTAAATAAAAAGATAAAGAATATTCAGACGTCAGACAGGAATGTGTTCATCTCTCCCCTCAGGTGAAAGCAGACGTGAAGAAACGAGTGAGGGAGGACTCCGACTTCAACCCTCAGCAGTTCCCCAACTCCCACAGAGCCTTTTCTGCAGACCCCTGATCACATCCTCCCCACACATTAAACCCTTTGTTCCAGTCTTTATTTTTATTTGTTTTTTCTTTTTGTTTGAGCAGCTTTGACTCTGCATGATGCTGCAGCTTCACAGACTTCCAGGCCAACAAGAAGCAGATTATATCCAAACTGAAGGTTCATTTACAAACTTAAGTTCAACTAAACCCATTCATGAAACATGTTGACTCAGACTGTGCTGAAGTTTAATCTGAGCTGCTGCCAGCAGCTGGATTAGATTTAATCTGAGGCTCTGCTTGTGATGAACTCAGAGGTGAAAGAGTGTGGTGCCCTCTGGTGGTGGAACCAAAGACTGGACCCACCTGGAGAAAAGTTCATCACGAAGTTAACCCAGAGTCAGATTTCTGTCTAAAGATAAACACAAACTTCTTTAATCCAAAGAAACAACAGAACCTTTAGTCCAGTTTGGATTCTGCTCATCTTGTCGACTAAAGAATGTAAAGTGATTTTTATTAAACCTTTCCTCTGCTCACATAACTTTATTTATTGCTTAAACTTTGACAAACATTTTCAACACATTAAAGGTTTTAACTCACGATTTATGTTGAAATTTAAAAACCTGTTTTTATGTTTCCTCACTTTGGGCCCAAATCTTCTTCTTCTTTTTGTTTCTTCTCCCTGCAGCTCAGTAAAGTTTTGTTTGTTTCATGATGTAAAGTTAAACAGAATAAAGATCTTGATTAAAATTATTCTGTTGTCTCTGGGAGAATGTTTGGAATGAAACTTAAAATCTAGAATTTTATTTATTGTAAAAAAAAATTAATCTGGAGATAATTTATCTGAGTAACAAAAGAACCGGACTCTCCTGCTGCCTACAGGTCCAAACACTCATGGATTACTTTGACCCAAAGACAGCAGGAGGGGTCAAAGGTCAACCTGTCACCTGAAACTCAGCAGGCGTGGGTGAACCGGTCGGACCGCCTCAGGTCCTGCTTCACATCCTGGTCCAGCTCAGGAATGTGACTGGACCACAACAGAAGCTTTTCTTTCTGAAAACATCACCTGAGGAGGAAAACTAACCTAAACACTTTCAGATTAACTTTTTTAATCCAACCTGATGCAGATAATCCTCGTTTAATCTGAGCCCAGAGTTCTGCCTCCAGGCCCGGCTCAGGCGACCCGGTTGGTTCTGTTTGCAGAGGGAGTGTTTGATGAGCAAACAACTCATCTCCTTCTCGCTGCCTGAAGCTCAGATTTTATGGTCCTGGACCCGGAGAACCGGGCTGAGCCCAGGTGAAAGGGGACACCCTGGAACCCACGGGTCCACTTCAGAACAAACAGAACCGAGGCTCCATGGCAACCAGGAGCACCTGAGCAGGAGATAAGTGGACTCTTTGTTCAGGTGTCTGAGGATCCTGCAGGCCGGTCCAGGACCGGTCCAGTTCCAGCTCCTCACGTTAAACAACAGCTGCAGTTTGTTGAAATAAACTGACTTTCTGAGAAATTTTAAAAAAAACTGAAATTATTCTTTAAATAAAGTTCAGGATGTGCAGCGTTCTCATCAGAACACTTCCCAAACTTGATTTTATCTTTTAATTACATTTTTATCTTGTGATTTACTTCTTTGTAATGTTTTAAAATTATTTGCAGGTTTTTTTTTTGCATGAGAAACAAGCAGGAACAGCTGCAACATTTTGGTTCTTTTTCTAAATTAAAAGTTTAAAAACAAAAATCCTGGTTTCCAACAATGAGATTCAGTTTTTATGATTTAAATAAATTATATCTTTTGGTTTAAAATCCATCAGGATTCAGAAACATTTAGTTTCATTTCAGTCTCAAAACATCAGTTTTTTCAGTTTGACACAAACTTCCTGATTTATCACTAAATAAACCTGCAGCTCAGGTGAAAAACAACTTTCAATCATTTTGAGGTCATTGAAACAAAGTCCAGCAGCTGCAGCCAGAGGAGACAGACTTTTATATTTAAATGTTCAAAATTTTATTGCTGAGTTTCTGAAAGATGTCTTAAAATTTTAATTTCTCAACTGAACAAAGCAAATCTTCATATTAGTGAACTAAAAACACAAAAGTTACATTTTATTCATGTTTGTATTTACTATTTCACAACATTTACAACAAAAACAAAAACACTGTTTTCATCCTAAAACTTAAATTTTACTGAAACAAACTTATTTATTTATTCCTGTAAGAAAAGAAGCTGGAAAAACTAAATAAATTAATTGTTTGAACTCGTTAAATCAACAGTTGCTGCTGTTTATTTAAAGCTTCGACATGTTTTAAATCTTTATTTAAACAGAAGTTAAAGAGAAAAGCTCATTTTGTGCAGCTTTATGGTCACAGAAAGGCTCCAGGGTTGGACCCAGGGTCCTTCAGGTTCCTGTACTTGTGTGTGAGCCAGACTCCCAGGATCTGAGGACAGAAACAGGAGGTCAGTTCCCCTCAGAGCAGGAGGTTCACCCGCAGCTCGGAGCAGGAGGTTCGCCTGCAGCTCGGAGCAGGAGGTTCGCCCGCAGCTCGGAGCAGGAGGTTCGCCCGCAGCTCGGAGCAGGAGGTCCGCCCGCAGCTCGGAGCAGGAGGTCCGCCTGCAGCTCGGAGCAGGAGGTTCGCCCGCAGCTCGGAGCAGGAGGTTGGCCCGCAGCTCGGAGCAGGAG